ATATGAAAGCCTGGATAGTAGGGCTGTGAGAAGGAACCTGGATAGTAGGGTTGCTTCGATATGAAAGCCTGGATAGTAGGGTTGTGAGAAGAAACCTGGCCAGTAGGGTTACTTCGATATAAAAAAGCCTGGATAGTAGGGCTGTGAGAAGGAACCTGGATAGTAGGGTTACTTCGAAATGAAAAGCCTGGATAGTAGGGCTGTGAGAAGGAACTTGGATAGTAGGGTTACTTCGATACGAAATCCTGGATAGTAGGGCTGTGAGAAGGAACCTAGATAGTAGTGTTACTTCGATATGAAAAGCCTGGATAGTAAGGCTGTGAGAAGGAACCTGGATAGTAGGGTTACTTTGATATGAAAGCCTGGATAGTAGGGCTGTGAGAAAGAACCTGGGTGGTAGGGTTACTTCGACATGAAAAGCCTGGATAGTAGGGTTGTGAGAAGGAACCTGGATATTAGGGTTACTTCGATATGAAAGCCTGGATAGTAGGGCTGTGAGAAGGAACCTGGATAGTAGGGTTACTTCGATATGAAAGCCTGGATAGTAGGGCTGTGAGAAGGAACCTGGGTGGTAGGGTTACTTCGACATGAAAAGCCTGGATAGTAGGGTTGTGAGAAGGAACCTGGATAGTAGGGTTACTTCAATGTGAAAGCCTGAATAGTAGGGTTGTGAGAAGGAACCTGGATAGTAGGGTTACTTCAATGTGAAAGCCTGAATAGTAGGGTTGTGAGAAGGAACCTGGGTGGTAGGGTTACTTCGAATTGAAAAGCCTGGATAGTAGGGATGTGAGAAGGAACCTGGGTAAGGTTGTTTCATGATGAGTTTGGGTAAAACTGCATCTGAACCGAGAAGGAACCTGGGTAAGGTTGCTTTGTGATAAGTTCGTGTAAAACTTCAGGATGAACCGGGGTAAGGTTATAAGTTTGTGTAAAACTTCAGGATGAATCGGGGTAAGGTTATAAGTTTGTGTAAAACTTCAGAATGAACCAGGGTAAGGTTACTTTGATCTGATAATGTATATTAGTTTACCCGTTTGATTTCGGGAACTGAGTTTCTATTAGTTGTCTGTAAATGTGATCTGTATAACTACTGGATTTGTTAAAGCCAATCGTCTTTTCCTACAAAGATATCATGGTTAGTTATATGCGATGCATGAAATGCAGGGTGAGATGATGTTCTCAAAATAAATGAGATTATGCTGTATATGATATGTATGCGTATGTCATGATATATGTTCATGAAATGCTATCGGGGCATGCTCGTGTTTGAGAAAATAAATCCCTGACATTCGTTGGAAATTGGTGAATATTCTGTCAGGAAGAGATGTTGGGGAATAACTCTGCGGGGACCAAATTTTGGGGGAAGAGATACTCTGTTTGGTAGACCTGCTGATCTGAAGGAACAAATTTAACTGGGGATGAAATTCCGTTGCTGGAAGTGATAAGCTCTATTGGAGATTGAGCTTCTGTATCTGTAGAAGTAAACTCTGCTTAGGGGATGAAATTTATTGACTCGTCTGCGATTACGAACCTCAGCTGGGGATAGTTACGTCCTGTTTTGGGAAAGCTGATATCAATGCCTTTGGATACTTTTACTCTGTGGGGAGTGCGTATACCAATAATTGCGTTTCCAAGCATGAATCTATCCCGACACCTGTTGGGCAGAGGAACCTTCGGGTTTGGTACTTCTTGTTTTTTCCCTGTTTCTGGAATTACGAGTAATTGTCTTTTGTTTCTTATGTAAATCTTTATGAGCAACAATCATTTTCAAATGCATATATAAAAAATAAATCATTGGACGTTCTTGCAAAACAAAGCAAAAAAAGAAAAAGAAACAAATTGAAATTTTGTAGAAATGACTTGTATTGATTTTGAAATTGGCCCGTAATAGGCGTTTTGTACAAGGAGGTTGACGTCCTAGTAAGAGAACGCCGCCGAGAGACAGAAATTATACAATTTGTGTAAAGGAAAGAAAAACAGTTATGTGAAACGACCCCATTGGGTTCTAACTCTACTATTTCCTTTATATCTTCAAGCGTCTCATCACTTTGCTACTTGGCCGAAGGTTGGTCAGATTGATTGGTGCCGTCCGAGCTTGATAGTCGATACCGAAGTCTGGTCACAAGATGATCCAATGAGACACAGTGATACGCTTTAATCCCTAACTTTTGCCTGGATCGCCCATTCGGGTTTTCGGTCCACTGGGATACCCTTTTTTGCCCAAGCCTCCCTTTCGGGTTTTCGACTTGCCGGGTGTACAGATTTTTCATTTTCATCCCTTACTTTTGCCTGAACCCTTTTGGTTCGCCGGGAAGCCCTTATTTTTGCCTAGGCCAGTCAACCTAGCGGGTCTATTAATTAGGCGTAATATGTTTTCATTATGTCTGCATTGACAGGGTGAGGAAGGTCGTCACCATCCATGGTGGTTAGAATCATAGATCCTCCTGAAAAAATGTTCTTAACCACAAATGGCCCTTCGTACGTGGGGGTCCATTTTCCCCCTGGGATCACCTTGCAGCAGTATGATGCGCTTGATCACTAAATCCCCGACTTGATATTCTTGACGCATGAATTTCTTCTTAAAAGCCTTGATCATTCGCTTTTGATACGCCTGACAATGGCAGATAGCAGTAAGCCTCTCCTCGACCAAGACTGATCCTCCCATATGGTCTCGCGTCTGGCAGGGAGCATCCACGACGAGTAGAAACATCCCTACGAGCATCCTTCTTGTAGGGCTGACTATCAACGTCTCTGAATATCAGAGTCTTCGTAGCTCCAGAAAGACTACATCCATATCCTCTTGATCGTGCGGAGGAAGTCATCCAGGTGGGGGACCACGTGTTGGTCCTCACTACTCACGTAGGACCTGGCAGTCTCCATTTTGGGCCTGCTTGACCAGCCCAATGAGGAGACCTTGGCCCATCGTCGGGGGCTATAAATACCTTCTATTTCAAGAGGGTCGGGTATTGAATATTTCTCACTCTCTTACTTGTTTTCTCATTCCGAATCTCACTTTGGCATCAGAGTGTCTTGCAGGTACCCCCCCCCCCCCATCTCACTCTCAAGTTCTGCTCGACGTAAGCTGTGACGGTCCATTCTGGCCAGGTACGATCAAAAATCAATTGAGATTTTATAATTTTTTTAAACTTATAAAATAACTAAAACTTATGAGAATTTTTTCAAATTAACTTTATAATTGTAATCATGATAAAAAAATTTAAATGGTAGTCGTGGAAATTTAACGATAAATGGCAATCATAAAAAATTAATGATAAAAGATAAAAATTTAATGATACAGTTATTTTTATAAACTGAATAATTATTGTTTTTATAAACGGGAATAAGTTAAAAGTAAATTATAAACGAAATTAATTCAGCTATTTATACAATTATTTGTATAAATGAGAATAAGTTACAAATATTTTCATAAATAGACAAACGTGTTCAAGGTGTTTATAAACGGAAAATAAGTTACAAAGTTACAATTATTTTTATAAAATGGAATAAGTTACAAATATTTTTATATAGGAGAAAAATTGAAGTATTAAAACAATTATTTTTAATATGAATAAATTAAAATTTGCTTTATAAATTGTCACACTGGTTAAAAGCGCTCATAAACGAGGAAAAGCCTACATATTGATATAAATATTTTTATATACGAAAATAAGTTACAATAGTTTTTTTTAACGGAATAAATTACAAATATTTTTATAGACAGAAAAAATTTAACTTATTATTCAATTATTATTTTAAATTAGAACAAATTACAAATATTTTTTTATAAGTAGACACACGAGTTCAATGCGCTTACTATGTTTGTAACTATATAAATGTTAATCAATTGAATAAATATATATAAATTTGGCAAATAAGAATGAGAGACGTATAATGTGAATCTAGACGGAAACAGTATGACAGCACGAATTTCTTATTATTGTAAATTTCATATCGATTTCTAGTGCACCGGTTTTTTAAATGTATTTTTTTTTAACTTTTCATTGCTATTTTCATAGTATACTATTTCAAATTATTTTATTTTTTTCCATATATATAATTAATGATTTCTACTGATTCTAAATTATGACACTTAAATTACATTTTTCCTAACTCGATAATTTTTTTCTATTAATGATTTCTTATTCAATACTTATATAATTTAACAATAAAGACTTAATAATTTCTTGGTCAAGTATATTAATCTAACATTTTTTTATTTCTCATTTTATTTCTCAATTTAACCGTTGTAGATTGTTCATCTTAATGAAAGACTTTGCAGACATAGATTCACTAATAGATGTGAACACATTGTAGATTATTCATCTTAATAATTTTTTTTTACAGACATAAATTCACGAATAGATGTGAACGTATCTATAAATACCAACTATAAATCATTCATTTTAATGTTCATCTTTTAACTATTATTTTTGCTATTGTTTTATAAAAATTCAGTATATAATTTATTATTGTAGAATATTTTTAACAAAATCTGATTAACATTAAAGATTTAATATTTTTTTGGTCAAATATATTAATTTAAGATTTTTATTTATTTTTAAATTTAAAAAATTGATGGATATTAATTTATATTTGTAGCTATATGAATGTTAATCAATTAAAAAATAAATTCAAACTTAACAAATAAGACTGCACGACGTATAATAGAATCCAAATGAAACACGAATATCTTACTAATATTTCTTACCTTAAAACAAACGTACCTTTAAACTATTTAGGAAAAATTGTTTTCTCAATATTTCTCGGAACACCTCAAATTAATCCTATGATATTTTTTATACATAAAAAAAAAAAAACCAACAATAAAAAGAAGAAAATAAAACTGATATCAAACAATTTTCATAATAAACATCGATACACTAGTAAAAAAAATAATCTCATCCATATATTTTAATCTAATAGATAAAAATCAAAAGATATATTGAAAGAAATTTTGAAAGAAAAAAAAGAATGCAGAGACCAAGTAAAAAATCTTATTCTTATTGGCACTGAGTTCCCTGAATTACCCTTGATATCAATTCGATATTGAAATTGCAAACCATTTCAATTGTTTTTCTGCTGTGAACAATCTTCAACCACTGAATTTGAACAATTCCACTAAATCTCACATAACCTATAAGATTCAACCTCCCTGAAGAAACATCCCTCGTAAAATTCCCATTCTCCTCATCAACAATTAACTTAGGAAACATCACATTCACCGTAACATTCGTATGTTTGGTTCTTCTTTCTTTCACTCTCGCATCAGGAATTTTCATATAACCAACTTTAACATCTGCATACACCAATATCACATCGCTATTCTCGTAACTGAATATTCCACCGAAATTAGGGTTCCAGATACTGAAATACGTGATAATTGTCGCGTTGAATGAACGCGACGGTGAAGTAACGTTATAGGTAATTTGATTCAATGTAGTTGAAGTTAACTTTACCTCTGGATTCCTCAATCGGAATATCAATGCAGCGATTAGTAAAACTGCACAACAGAAAACGAAGAAAGTGAAAAAGAAGATAAAACATTTGTTGCTCCGTTCCTCGCGGATTGGCTTGTACATGGTGCAGGGGTATTTTGGTAAATCGATTGTTTGGTGATTTTTCAGTAACTGAACTGAATTAGATGAAGATAAAAAGGGTTTGAAGAATTGAAATGTATGTTATAAATTGTAGCGCTTATTTATAATAACCGTTTACTGTGGCATCTGATTCATTCATGAGTGATGGATAGTGGATGGTTATATAAATTAATAAAAGGGTTTATTTTTTCTCATTTATTTTCTTTAATTAACTTTTCACAGGGGGTTACGGTTAAAGTTACCCTTTCTATAGTTTGGCATTTCCAACTTTCAATTAAGTCATAGAATATTTAATTGTGTACTACTTCCTCCTATCTATAAGGAGTCATCAAATATACTATTTCATGTATATTAAAAAAATGTAGAAAAGTAAACAAGAGAATAATGTGGTTACTATAGCACCTCTAATTATATATTGAAAATAATAAAAGTTTAATTAATTAGAGAATAAATTTTTTTTAAAAAAGTATTGAAAACTTAAATGAATCGTTTATCTTATGACACTATTTTATTTTAAACAGATCATTCATTATAAAATAGAGGAAGTAATATTTATTTTCTTGTTCTCGTATATAAGAGATGTTCGTTTTTCAGAGACGATGAATATGGTTTATATACCACATATATTAATTTATTCAATAAATTAAATAAAAAATAAGTAGAGGAAATACATAGAGTGAATATAAAATACGGAGAAAAGAAAATGGTATTAATGGACATAATAAACCCCATTATAAAATACAGAGAAAAAATCTGTCTGGTGACTCTGATTCCTAAGCATGAGAAAGCCACTAATATTAGGGATTTTTGCCCGATATCTTATTGTACTACTGTTCATAAAGTCATATCCAAAATTACGGTTAATAGGATGAGTAATATTCTTGGTAGTATTATTAGTAAAAACCAAGCAGCGTTTGTGTCTGGCCAAAAAATTCATGATCACATCCTTGTTGCGTATGAGCTTATAACATGTTATAGCAGAAAAGGGGGGTGCTTAGGTGTATGGTGCAAATGGACATTAGAAAAGCTTATGATTATGTGGACTGGAGTGCTTTGCAGACTATCTTGGCAGAGGTGGGTTTTCTTAGGAAATTTGTCAGATGGGTGATGTTAGCAGTGTCTACAGTGTCGTACCAGTTCAATATCAATGACAGAGCCTCTATGAGCATGAAGGAAGCTAGGAGTTTGAGACAGGGTGATCCCATCTCTCCCCTTCTGTTTGTTGTCATAATGGAGTATCTCCATAGAAAGTTGGATGGGATGAGCACAATTCCTAATTTCAATTATCATAGCAAGTGTGAGAAGTTGAAATCAGTTGATTTGAGTTTTACTGATGACCTCTTAATCTTCTCTAGAGGTGATAATATTTATGTTCAGTTGATGATGGATATCTTCTCAAATTTCTCTTTGTCCACTGGCTTGAAAGTCAACCCTAGCAAATGTAAACTCTACTGTGGTGCTTTAAATGTTAAAGAGCAGACTAATCTATAGCAAATTACGGGTTTTAGTAGAGGCAACCTTCCTTTTAATTACTTAGGGATTCCTCTAAATAGTAGAAAGTTGTCTTATAATTAGTGTTTTGCCCTAGCGGAAAAAAATTAGTGCTAAAATTAGACATTGGAGCTCTCGCTTGCTCACCTATGCTGGTAGGGTTTAGTTAGTGAATAGTATGATCTTTGGTTGTGCCAATTATTGGATGAGTTGTCTTCCTTTGCCCAAAGGTGTGACTAAGAAGCTTGCAGCTATTTGTAGATCCTTTATTTGGTCAGGTAAAGATGCTAGTTCTAGGAAGTCTCCTGTGGCTTAGGATACAATGTGTGATCCTAAAAATCAAGGAGGATTAGGGATTATCAACTTGGTTGTGTGGAATAAAGTGTGTATGTGCAAATTGCTTTGGAGTTTAAGCAGCAAAGCTGACAGCATATGGGTTAGATGGATTCATGCTTATTATGTGAAGAATGCATATATAATGCAAATAAAATGGTTCTTGGATCCTGAGAAGCATCCTTAAATTTATGACTAAAGCTATGAGGCTGACTCAGTGGGGTAACTTGAAGAGTAATGGGAAATTCCCCATGAAAAAGTGTTATTTGGAGTTTTTGAAGCATATGCCTAAAGTTGAATGGGGTGGATTAGTTAGGAGAAATATAGCTAGGCCTCGTGCAATATTTTTGTTGTCGCTTGCTTTCCATAAAAGGCTACCTATTAAAGACAGATTGGCGAAGATTGGCATATTCCACCAGCCTAGTTGCTTGTTCTGTAACTGTACTGAATCTATTCACCATCTGTTTTACGATTGCATGTTTACCAGCAAAATTTGGGAGGAAGTTCTTAGGTGGTTGAATGTTAGTCACAAGGTTCAAGGTTGGGATCAAGAACTTGTGTGGACTGTGAAAGTTTGTAGGAGCAAGAACTGGCGCAACCAGCTTGTGAAGATTGTTATAGTAGAAACAATTTATGAAGTCTGGTGGGATAGAAATAGAGTTGTCTATAACAAGGATTATACTAATAGGAATATTGTTAAGATCATTGTGGATAATATAGTGAATAGAGTGTGGATTTATCTCAAATTTAGAAATAGAATATCCCAACTCTTGTTGCCTTAATTAGGTGGGCCGAAGTAGATTTTGTTCTTAGCTAGACTTTTTGGGTCGCTTTGCATCCATTTGTTTTTTTATTAATATAATTTTTATTTCCAAAAAAAAATATAATTATTTTTTCTATAAATACAAATTTATAAATTGGTAAATCCATAATTAATATTTAACACGGTCATAGTTAACAAAGTAAATTTAAAACTATTAAATTTTGTTTTTTTATAAGAAACAAATCAGAATTTAATAAAGTTAAGACAAACCAACCAATAATAAATTGCATCTTTATTCTTTTTTAGATGATAAAATTTATTCTTTTAATAATTATATTCCTAAATTTAAGAGATGCAACATTTTTACATTTATATAAAAAAATTTGCACATACTTATTTTATTGTTATGTTTAATTTTATTAAATTATATATATATATATATATATATATATATATATATATATATATATATATATATATATATATATATATATATATATATATATATATATATATAATCAAAATTAATAATAGGCTGACGGGCAACACTAATTTTTTTAAATAAAAGTTAATTTAATAATATCCAAAAATAATAATAATAATATATAAATAATAACAAAAACATAATTTTTTGAAGAAGAATAATAAAAAATTAAATTATATCATTTTATATTTTATATTTAATAATATAATTTTTTTTTGGTAAAATAATTTAAATTTCTATCTTTACAATGTCGCTACATAACTACTATTAAAAAGAAAGTTAGTTATACTTTCATTTCACAATGTCGCTACATAACTACCATTAAAAAGAAAGTTAGTTATACTTTCATTTCATAATGTAACTAGCTTTTGATTATTGAATTGATTAGTTATAATGATAATATAGTAATTGCATGAGCTGCGGTAGATAAAGATTACACTTAAAGTGACTCATATCGGTCTTGAGACTAAACTAGATTTTAAGCAATCATTCTTTAACTATTAAACTAATAGTTACCAACTGAACTAATTTAACTATATTTATCCATATAATTTACAAACACTTCAACTTATTGACACTTCGATTAATTTGTTGACTAGTCATTAAATATAAACTATCAAAAGTCTTGGTGAAATCTTCATCAATTAACTTTTAAGAGTAAAACCCATGTTTTCATTAAGTAATCTATTTTTAAAACAACAATTTGGTTTGTTAAAACACAAATGTGTATTTAAAAGAATTAATCACTTGCATTTCTTTTTTTTTTTAATTTTCAATGATTACTATTGATTAGTTTTATTTTTAGAATTAAATATGTTTTTCATCATTATAAATAAACTATCATTTAATTTTAGTCCTTATAAAAATTTTCATCTAATAATAATTCTCTTAAAATTTTTCGTTTGGACTTTTGATCTTTAACGTTTATTTTCACGAAACTGACATAGAACACCACCTTGCGCGCCATGTCACTTAAAATTACCATTACAAAAATCAACTAAATTACGGGGTTATAAACCTCCCTAAAATCCTTCTATTTAAATCAACCAACATCGTCGTCTTTTCTCTCAGTTTTTCATTGTTCTCATAACCTCTCTCTCATAACTGATTGTACGCAAATCACTCATAATATAAAAATGTGTTGAGTTTCTTTGAAAAAAGTTACACTTTTAACTTCCTAAAATACACATGGTTGATTTAGTTGCTTCTTGTTTTGAACATAAAATTAAAAATCATTGTTACTTCACAAACTTTCGCATATGAAGTGTTTGATGAAATGCTTAAAAAAAGAAAATGCAACCCAATGTTGACACAAACTGAAGCATATGCTCAAATTATGAAACATGTTATGAGTTAAATTATCTTTTTTTTTAATGTTAGCTAGGTGAATCAATACTAAAATCATTTTATTGTTTCTTTACATAGTGGTTCTCTACTAAAAATAAGATTACTCGGGTGGTCATGCAAAAACTGTTAATGTCGATGGCCTTGGAATCCACGAGTCTGGATGATGACCATAAATGCTGACCTCATGTTTAGATACACCTAAATAAATGATGGAAGTATATTTTCAAAACTTTGTTATGAACAAATTAGTTTGGAAAGGACTAAAACAACACAAGAGTTCACGAATTATTTCCTATGCTCACTTTCAGTAACATAGAAGCTTGCTTGCACCAAAGGCACAACCAAAAAAAACAATACCAGAAGAACCATTTCTCCATGAGTGAAGAGTTTCACAAATGTGTTACTCCAAGGAATGACAGCTCTAGTGACTGGTGGAACCCGAGGCATAGGGTCAGTTTCTATAATACAAATTTTATCTCCTATGGCAACATGTAATTTATCATCATGTTAACAATTGAGAAAAAAAAAAATCCTCAAATTTAGGGAGGTTTGAAACCCCCTTAATCTAACTCATTTTTTTTGCAGAGTTAACTTTGAGTGATGTGGCGTACCACATCAACTTCCGTTCGATCAAATAAACAGAAGGGACTAAAAATAAAGACGGAAAATTGAGAATTATTCTTTAAAGAAATTTTTTAGAGAGACTAAAACTAAATTTTGAATTATTTATAGATACTACAAACATATTTAACCCTTATTTTTATAAATATTATAATAATTGATTACTGTACCTTGTTTATTTGGCAAGTAGTAGATAAACATTTTCCATTTTCATTTTTTTTACATGACATCCATTTTTTCTTTAATGCAAAATAGAACTTTAGAAAACAAGACACAAAACCAAAATGCCACATGGAAAAGCTTTTTATATATACGACACAAGGAAACCAATAGTGACCCACTGCGCCGGCTTGTTAACATAAACATTTGGAGTCATAGCATGCTGCTGATCTCACAATGTGCATGTTCCTTAGAAATGCTCCTTTGCAAATTTTTCGTTGAACTCGGAGTAAAGCTTGCTCAATTCTTTAGCCAAAATTGGTACTCCGCAACAAAACACTCCAGACACAAAGTCAAGATGTGAGTAGAAGATATAATAACAAATAACAAAGTCTCTAAACAATGATAGAATGAATTACCTATTCGTTTATTACCATGCTTAGAACATATTTTAGAGAAAACTTTTTTTCAATTAGGCCTTGCAAAATGAGTTCGCACCTAATAGTAGATTCAAATGGAGGTTAAAAGTTTATGTGAGATTAGAAAGTAAATTCTAGCTTTAAAGTGTTGGTAATTCGCGAAAGACAAAGTCTTCACCCGAGTCCCAGAAACAATATCAACTCCATTTTTCACATGGTTGAGGGCTTGCACCATGGTGATGAGGGCGGATCTTGCATCACCTTCCTCGTATACACTGGTCAAGTAGTTGTGCATCTCAATAACACCCTGAAGTCCATAATTTAAGGAATATAAGAAATTCTTCAAGAGGAAGTCTAAACAACTCGAATCACGTACTCTTCTGAATAAAAGAACATTTCAGTAAAATTTAGTACATTCTGATCTATTTCATTAACTTGGTTCATGACCCCTTTAAACCAATTGAAATAACTTTGTTCTCTTGTTACCCAGTAGAAATAAGTGCTGCTAGTCGCCACTGTTTTCTTCTGTTTGTTGAGAATATCTTTTAGAATGCTGATAAAAGGTGTTGCTCCTATTCCAAGACCAACAAGTAGCAAGACATCATATTTTGCATAGTCCTGTGCTGGCGCACCGTAAGGTCCATCTATCCTTAGCTTAGGTAAACTGTATCAAAACCAAAAGATGGAAGGATTCTGAAGATAATTATTTCCCATTAGGACAAAGTTACAAAGATTCATAAATACAGCACGTACCTTTTCTTGGTGGTTTCATCATCCCTGAGAAGACCACTCTTCCCAGCTAAGGGAGCCTCACATGACTCAGAGAATACTCTCTTAAGCTCCTGTGTCCAATCAACTCAGGTAGTCATCACCGGGTGCTGAGGTAATAGAAAACGGATGCCTGTCACGCAGATACATTGTACTATCAAATACCGATAAACTCATTATAGACTGCATAATTAGAGATATAGTTAGATTAGTTAGTTGTTCTTGTACTTCTTCATGGAATAATAATTTCATAGCATTTCTTCCATTCATGACATCTATCAAGAATTGTAATAAATACATAATGATTTGAAAGTATATAACTGCAATTGACACGACATTGGACAAACATATATTGTCCGCTCTTGTAACGAAATTGAGGCGGCTTTGACATTTGCAACCTAAATGTTTTCCACGGTACGAATGAAAGATCTGTAAGCAAAACCTTGACAGGACTTAACTTGAGTCGGATAGTTACCAACAAAAACTAAGCCAAAACCTTTATCTGTGTCTAGTGTTGGAGCTAATGTGAAAAGTTATCAAGGTTGAAAATAAAATCAGAGTTTAGCAGTAACTGCTTAGAATTGTGTGCTCGCCTTTATAAGATTGACTGAATATAAATCAGAACGGAAGAATCGGAGTGTTCTTTCTCCTGCATAAAGTAAGATTGGAACTACAAGATACATCCATGTCTGAATAAAGAAATCAATGTGACAAGAACTAATTTGACAAAGCTCCTAAGTAGTTGTTGATAACTGATACTATAGATTACATACCGTTTGATGGGTCCATTCACGATCGAGGCAAAGGTTTATTCCGTGAATGATGAGCAGCATATAGACAATGACAAATAGATAGTGAATACCAAACGGCATTGAAACCTGTCAGCCTATTAAATGGTTTGGGAAGCTTAATGAGATTTCTCCTGAACCATGTTGTTGCAACTTGCAGTATAAATGCTATGGCCATATAAATCACCATCAAAATTCCAGTCAAACCCTCAATCCCTAAAACAAGATCTCCATAACTGGGTTTATGATCACCAAATGCACCATTTAAATACTTCTTATACTCCTCTTCAGAGGAATTTACAAGTCTTGGAAAATCACATGTAAGGTGATTCCTGACATGAAGTGTAACTCCAATAACTATGGCCGCAGCAATTGTCTGCAAACATCCATAACTACACATTATATTCTGTTCTGTTACTCATAGTAAATTTTGTTGCTTTCTTCCAGATAATTTTCTGTTTTCTTTTTCTCTGGTTTTGTGCAGGTGAAACTTTTTTTTGGACTATTTGCTTGTACTGGATGAACTTCCACATAAACAGCCCAATCATTATGGAAATCCACAGTGTTAAAACCCAAAGTATCTTCTAATTTTCTAGTAAATAGTAGAGCAACCTGCAGCTCATCCTACCAATGAGACTTATCCTCCATAGTCCTTTTGGGTTCTCGTTCAAAGCTTGACTTGGGTAGCTTAGAGCCCGGCTGTAGCCGATGTATGCATCCTTTTGTAATAAAAGTGTCTCCAATTGCCATAGCTGCAATAACACAATAAGCATATAATAGCAGTAAGACTATCAGGAGTTGAATCATGTATGTGAAAGATATTTCAATATGTCATCTAAGTTAGTTTTAATTCAAACTTTACAATTAGTTTCAATTTAGTAGTTATGTTTGTTACAAGTTAGTTAGTAAATTGGAGGTTAGTTAAGATTCACTAACTTTGGCTACTGGCTTACTTGCATCTCAAGTAAACCAGTTAAAGTGTTGCTAAATCTCTATAAATGCATAGTTTGTGCTTGTAATCAAGTATTCATTCTTCTACTGCTAATCAATAAACTCTTCTCTCTCAATTCTTCTTTCACCCTTAGTTGCTCCAGTTTCTCAATTCTTCTTTCACCCTTACTTGCTTCAGTTTGCAAGTTGGTTTTCAATCTAACATACAGGTATCTTAGAGCTTATACAATTCAAGGGAGTTTTGATCTTTCAAAAATTGAAAAAAATCTTGTGAGAAATCATGGCTGGGGGAAATGGCACCTTTCAGGCTAACCTTCCCATTGTTTATGGAAAGAACTGGGATCAATGGTTTAGACAAATGAAGGTGATCTTTGTTGTTCATGAAGTATATGAACAAGGGAGTCTCATTGTCTTTCTCATGCCATGAATGTTATTGTTATTCTTTCCAATTTTTTACTATTCCTCGATCTATAGAACATTATAAATTAGGAAACCTATATGTCACACAAGATAGACAATAAGTTTCAACGTTATTCTAGTCAAATATCTCGAGCACCAAATAGATATTTACCATACATGTATGATTTCTCATATATTTTTGGACTGCCCCACTCTCTAGCATACATATTCCTATTAGTTATTTATTGGTTGTTAAAGGTGTAGGTTGGATAAAAATAATGAATGAGGAAATTCACGTTTTTCAAGAAAATTTCACATGGGAAATTGTTTCTTGTCCTCGTGATATAAAACATATTGGTTGCAAATGAGTGTATTCTTGAAATTGAATTCGGGTGAGTCTATCGCCCATTACATGATCAGTTTGTTGCCTTAGTAAACAACCTAGAATATGGGACATCTACACCGGTTTCTAAAATGACAATTGATTGCGTTGTGCTCTTTATATTTTTCTTCATGGTGATCTGGTTGAAGATATTTATATAACTCCTTCTCAAGGCTTGTCCTCTTCATCTAAGGGTTTGTGCAAGATCAAACACTCTTTATATGGTTTAAAACACACACCTAAAACATGGTACGGAAATTTTTGCTCAACTCTACTTGAATCATCCTTTTTGTAGAGTTAGTATTGATTCATCTTTATTTATTCATAAAACATCTATGTGTATTGTTATGGTTCTTCTGTATGTTGATGATATGATTATTACTAATTTTGATCACACTTTTATTCAACAACTTAAACAACATTTGTGTCATTTCTTATGAAAGATCGGGGTTGTAACCGTCCGAGCCTTCAGCGTTCCCGACACTATTACCTCACGATCTTCTCTACCCCCTCACTAGTAGAGTTTTTGCCTTTCGTGGAAATCGAACCATGTACCCTGGGGTTCAAGTACATGCTCAATGCATTCCCACTACCAATTGAGCTACATTTTATTTAATATTATATTATATTAATATTTTCGAGTTACCGTTTGACGTTTATTTTTGTGACGAGAATATTTAAATTAACCGGTATATCTGTTAATATATTCGGCGACGTTTTATTCGGTCCGGTATTTGTTTTGAGGGACCGGTAATTATTTTATTCGGTCCGATATTTATTTTGAGGGATCAGTAATTATTTTATTCGGTCCGGTATTTATTTTGAGGGACCGGTAATTATTTTGTTCAGTCCGGTTTTTATTCCGTTCGGTTTGGTAAAATATTATTCAGACCGATATTTAATTATTTGGGTTAATAATATTATTTAGTATTAATTGGTGTTATGAGGTAGTATTTTACAAGAAGGGTTTTTTGGGTATTTTGCTAGCTTATGTCTTGCATCAAAATAAATCAAACACACTTTGCCTTGTCTTTGTATCATAAAACACTTTGAGAGAGTTAAAGAGAGAGCTAGAGGTCTTGGAAGAGAAGAATAGGAGCAAGAATAAAACTTGGGTTTTGGGTTGGTTGAAACATCAAAAATCATTTCAAGTATCTAAGGTAAGGGGTTTGATTTTCCAATGCTTATAGTTAGGGTTTGATTGGGTATATTTTGATTTGGGATAAAATTGGTGTTAGAGTTCTTGAGATTTGTTGAAATAAATTAGGAGAGTTAATTTAAGTGTTTGTGTTGTGGAATTATTGTTATGTTAATAGAAATTAAATTAAGAAAACTAAATTATATTAATTAAGTTTAGTTTATAAATTAAAAGAAATAGCAGTATAATTTAGTTTATAAACAAAAAAAAAAATAACAGTATAGTTTAGAAGAAACAAAAAGTAGCAGTATAGTTTAGTTTATATATAATTTAGAAAAAACAAAAACTAGCAATATAGTTTAATTTGTATATAGTTTAGAAAAAACAAAAAAATTTAGTAGTATAGTTTAGTTTATAAACTAAAAACTAACAGTATAGTTTAGAAGAAATAAAAACTAGCAGTATAGTTTAATTTATATATAGTTTAGAAAAAACAAAAACTAGTAGTATAGAAAACTAAAGTACTACTAGTTTAGAAACTAAAATATGCAGAATAGAATTGAAATTAAATTTAGAAAATTAATTAATTTATGTTTTGTTTTTTTTTTCTTAATTTAATATGTTAAATATTTATATTAATTAAATACAAATATGACATAAGTTAGCCGATTTAATTTGGAATCCGATTATGTCCGATTTCCCGATTTCGGCAATTTCGGTGACGGAGCTAGTTGCTCCGAATTGAACAAAAATTGACGTGCTAGTTAATTTCGACGTGTAGAACATCGTGGTGAGGTTAGTTTTTCGAGATTTCGAATTTTTATGAAGCGACCCGAAATAGGCCAATTTACGGTTAATTTGAAATGGGTTGCGTTTTAGTCGATTTAAGTCGCGTATGGACAATCCGATTGCTACGTTAATGATTATGATTGATGCCGATTATTATGAATGACTTTCGCGATGATTATTGATGTTTGACTATTTTTCCGTGTTTGAAATTTAGTGAATTATTTGATAATGATGTGGTGTGATTAAATATGATGTTTGCGACGATTTATTTATAATGAATACTTGATGATATGCGATGCGATGATATGTTTATCTTGATGTGGATGAATATGGCGACGTGGGTTTTATACCAATTTTGATGTGCGATGATGATGTTTTGTTTTGTTTTGTTGTGTTTGTGATGTCGTGTTGTCGAGTCACATACATTGCATTGGCGACGAGTGCTTTTATGCCAAGCGACGAGGGCTTTTATGTCAAAGCGACGATGGGCTTTTATGCCGAATGTCCCTAATTATGGACAAAGCGACGGATACCATATGCATAACATAGACGTGTCTCATGGAGTCGATTATGTTTATTTTTGAGTCTTTTGGCGTTGAGTTTTATTTCATGGCTTATGATAAATTGCGATGATATATGATACTTTATTTTGTGATGATTTTTGTGTTGAACATAAAGTGAATATGATGTGATAATTTCATGATGAGTAAGCGATGAATATAACATGACGGTAAAGCGACGGTATGAGTTTATGGCGATGAAGTTTATGTCTTGTTTTGGTATGATTATGATGATTACGTGACGAAATTAAAGTGTTGATTTTATACACTAAATGATGATTTAAAGTGTGTGAGATTTGAATATGTGCTGACATACTCTTATTAATCCTATATCATTTATGATTCTAAAACTATTTATATATTTTATCATGCCTTTAATTATATGTTTTGGAGTATCTCACCCTTTACTTGTTTCGTCGTTGCCTTTATATTGGTAACGTGCAGGTGATCTGCGAGGATGATGAGGATTAACTCGAGTCTCTTTATTTTGAGTCGCTCTGCTCTGATAGTAGTAACACTCGGGATTTGGGCGACGTTATTATTTTGATAGGATAGTTTATGTATACTATCTTATGACTTTATGTATTGATGATAACATGATGATACGTACATTTTATGAACACATCCGCTGTGCTGTGATTAGTCATATATTTATATGATGATTTATGTTATGAATCGGTATATCCGACTTTTGATTTTGTGATGTGCATTATAATGCAAAGTGATGAAAAACACGAATATGTGATACCTCAATTTATGTTTGGATGAAATTTTGAAACTTTGATTTTATTATTAATTACGAAGGGTAGAATTGGGGTGTTACATTAGTGGTATCAGAGCAGGTCGGTATGTCCGGCCAAGTTGTTGAGTTTGTTGTCGTCTATCAATCAAGTATTGTTATATGTTGATTCTAATCCGTGTTTTGTTTTGAGCAGAAGTTGTTATGGCTGGAAGGAACACTGGTAGGAATGATGAGGCTCTTGTTGCTGCTATGCAGGCAATGGCTTAGGCTTTCCAAAACCCGCCGAATGCTGACGAGAACGCTGGGTCTCGTAGTTTGGCAACCTTCCAAAGAGAGAATCCTCCTACTTTCCAAGGAAAGTATGATCCCGAAGGTGCTTTGGCGTGGCTAAAGGAGATTGAAAGAATCTTTCGTGTGATGGATTGCACTCCTGTGCAAAGGATCCATTATGGTACTCATAAACTAAGTGTTGAAGCGGATGACTAGTGGGTTAAAACCCGTCAGAGGCTTGAGGTTGCTGGTGAGGAAGTGACATGGGAAGTTTTCCGAAGGGAATTCATGAGGAAGTATTACCTGGAAGATGTTCGGGGAAAGAAGGAGATAGAGTTCCTTGAATTAAAGCAAGGAAGCATGTCTATCACTGATTATGCTGCAAGGTTCACTATGTTGGCCAAGTTCTATCCGCATTATGATGGGCCGAATGGCGAGTTCTCTAAATGCATCAAGTTTGAAAATGGTTTGCGTCCTGAGATTAAGAAAGCTGTTGGTTATCAGAAAATCTGTGTCTTTTCGGATTTGATTGATAGTTGTAGGATCTTTGAGGAGGACAACAATGCTCATTATAAGATTATGTCTGATAAGAGAAACAAAGGTCAGCAAAGCCGTGGAAAACCGTATGATGCTCCAGCTGGTAAAGGGAAATAGAAAGCGTTTCAAGGGCGAAGAACTAGTGGGGGAGATGCTCCTGCTAGTATTGTTTGTTACAAGTGTGGGAAACC